TGGCATTACATGATTGCTACATGGCTGTGTTCCTTCAGGCAATGGGACTTGTGATGTTGGTTAATTTTGAGCACTTTAAAACATCTCCAAATTGCTGAGCGATCAGCCAATCTGCTTGGCATCCCGGACTGAATCAAGGTTGCACGTACACCCAACAACAGCTGTGCTGACTTCCATTTGTTAGGCATTAAAAATTAGTCGTGAGCTTTACCAGTTCAGGGATCGGAACGCATGAACAGCAAGCGCTGTCGGATACGCAAGCACCTATTGAGCCTACCGGGCGTGTGCTAGTAGGGGGAATTTTCAAACTCAAATAAAGGAGTGGAGATCAAAGAATTACAGTCGTTTTTTGGATGGATTATACATTTTATGTTACTTCTGATGGTACGTTCGGACGCGACTTCACCTATGCAACGATTTTAGTGTATTCAATGCAGTGTTTCGACCCTTTGGACGAGTCTGGTACAATTTAATCGCTCCTGGAAGAATGAAGCCTTAGTGGCTTGGATAGGCTCGAACCAGGTTTCGACGGTGCGAATTCACCGTTTCTGCTCCTACAACCGAATATCTTCTCAGAAACATACCGTAGGCTGTTACAACAAAACATCATTCATATTTTCATGACCGTGCTTTGATGCATCCAGTAGCGATGTTATTTCAAAAAGCCAAAAGAGGGCTACGACAGAAAACCTCCGGAAAAAGACGCTAGCCATCGAAATCCTGGGCATGATGTGGGGCTGACACTATCGGAGAGAAAATACAAAGTGGGTGCATAGGTGTAGAGATGCGAATCCACCTATGCACGCCACCTCCACCTTACGAAATGACTTTTGGTAAAAACAAATATGGTAGAATATTACCAGAGGGGCGTTGTTTCACGGAGAAATTAATGCTCTCAAGACCACGACAATTATAACATTTCCACTCAATATATTCGTATGAAGCCGGTACTATGTGGGTTGGGGGGGGGGCACGCGGCGGCGCTTTGTTCGCTGTTCGTCTGCTCCTATAGGGCTTAGTCCAAGGGGCAGTTAATATTTCGTCGCCACGTGGCATTTTCGAAATACGTGCCATTGGCGGACTCAGCCCACTTAGCACCATGAAACCTTCCTTAGTTGGGGATCGC